TTTTATCATGTATTACAAGAAAAAAAAACAAACATTTCGATCATGGATTACAAAAAATTCGATCATGGATTACAAAAAATTCTATCATGGTTTACAAAAAAAAAAAACAAAAAAAATTTCGATCATGGATTACAAAAAAAAAAAAAAACAATTCTATCATGGATTACAAAAAAATCGATCAAGTATTACAAAAAAATCTATCATGGATTACAAAAACAAACAAACAAAAAAAAAAAAACTATTATGTTCTTCCGTTCGGGACTCGCCGATTCACTGTATGGGACTCGCCGATTCTGTTCAGTGAATCGGCGAGTCACTATGCAGAATCGTCCGGTTCTCTCTAGAACCGGACGATTCCCGTTTTTTTCATCGATTCGATCCGTCCATGGCGATTCTCGAGTCGAACCGGACTCGACGTTTTTTTAAACACTGGTTTAAAGCATCAGCTCTATACAAACCGCACCTTTTCCTAAATACAACAAAAGAATTTGTGAAAATATAGAATGAGACCATTTACAATTAGATACAAAAGTGGTCACATTAATCTTGATCTTTGGATATGAAATTGGGTGGTGGGTGGCGGCTGCAATTATATCATTGACCAAACTCAAATTTCAAAAAAACAAATTCTCAAACTTTATGAGATATTGAGACAAATTTTACATCAAATTTGTGACCACCTTGCATAACTTTGTAACACATCTAAGCTGATAAATTTCTCATAAAAAAAAGAAAAAAGTGTGAATACCTTTCATTAAAGGTAAATGATCTCATTGTGTACGTTCCCAAAGAATATTCACAAAAATTCCCAGTAGAGTTTGCTGCTTGCGATCGTTCTTCTCCATCGAACGCCTTATCCATCCACCTGTAACGTACTCTTTTTGTCGCTTTTAAAACAAACGAACAAGCAACAAAATAAATAATCACCTCTCTCTCTCTCATAAGCTGACCATCCTGGAGTGCAGCACGCTGCAACTCAAACCTAACTGCTCTATACCAGCTTTAATTAACCCATTCTCAATCATCCCCTCTCTCTCTTTCATGGCCACCACTCTTCTCTTCTTTCTCCTCTCTCTCCTTTCCCTTCCCCCCACTTTCTCTCTCCAACTTGATACCCATGGCTCCATCTCTGTTCTCATCTCTGAAAAGGGCCTGGTTTTTGTCAAGGATTTGTTGGTTCAGCAAGCCCTTCTCTCTCTAACCCCACTTCATGTACCTAGTATCAAGAAATCAATCAACATTCCATTTATTGGTGGCATTGAGGCCACTCTTTCCAATATCACTCTTTTGGAAATCAATGTTTCCTCGACTTATATTCGGCCCGGCGATACAGGGGTCGTGATTGTGGCTTCTGGTGCCATGGCTCATATTAGTATGGATTGGAAGTATTCTTATAGCAGTTGGCTCATTCCAGTTGATATCTCAGATGGTGGGGGTGCCTCTGTTCAGGTATGTAAGGCCGTTGAATCTTCTCCGTCATTTCATGCCTACCTTTTTTTTTCTTTTTTTCCTCTTTCTGGCAGCTTTTTAGCGGTTTTTCTTCTCTTTTGGAACTTGGGTTTGTGCATTTTCTTCTTGTCTTCATTCAGTTTGTTGGCTTGTAAATCGCAGTGTGAGGATTTCTCGAATATTTGGTATTCATGTAATTTTTGCTGCTTTATGCAAATTTAATTTATCATGGAGAGATTTGTAATTACTGAATAACAAATAAAAGGTGAGGTTTATCTGTGCAACCTTCATACATGTTGTGAACATTTGACCTATACATGGCAGGTGTTGAATGTTTCCTTTTGGGATATTCCGAGTATAGTCATCCCAACTCCCAATATTTGGATAGAGTTGAAACTTGTCCCCCATAGACAAAATTTAGGTTAATGAATTGTATTATTATGATGATAAGACAATCTCTAAGTTATGATGGACTATTAGTGGAAGATGGTTTATGTAGCATCCGTGTAACTTTCAGTGGTGTTTTTGATGGAATTTCCCATTGGTTCAAGTGTGGCATACTCATAATACTACTGGTAATGAAATTAGAACTTTATAAAATTCCAAAAAATTGACCCTACCCTTCTGAAATTCTCAACCACATAAATTTTGGTACCTATCCAGGAAGAAATGTGAATAATGAAATGAAAGGGAACGAAGGCCTTGAAGGCGAGGATAAAGGATGTCAAAGGGGTGAAAGGTGTCAAATAAATAACATTGGAAAGAAGAACCAGTAATGATATTAAAACTGCTTCAACTTACTATAGACTTTATTGCATCATCAGTGCTGTTTATGCTAATGGCAGTGATGGTACTGTTGGAATTCAAAAATATTAATTTCTAATGGATTCTGTGATAATGTTGGAATTGATGCACACTTAACTTCTTGTTTCCAGAATCACATGATCTCTGGATTCCTTGCTAATTATATCATTGAAGTTTTTTGCTATTGCAGCTAATCATATTATTTTTAGAGGTTAACTCACAGCCATTAGATGTCCAATTAAATGACTTGGGTGTGCGATAAAGTTTGAGAATTTTTTTTTTTTTGAGCTTTTAGTCTAGTCAATGAAAATCTTACAACCATCCGATGTCAAATCTGACAGACAAGAGTGTTTGTGACCTCATTGTTCCAAAAGTAAGCGGTCTCTTTGTGTACTTTTCCATTTTTTTAATGGTCATGGGAATTTTGATGGTAGCTCATCTTATCTATTAATTACCAATGGATCTTTGTCCATTTGTGCTAATATAGTGTCCAGGCACTATATTTTTCTTATTGACAAAAAACTATTGCCATGAGAGTGAAACTGACCGACATTATGCTCTATTTTAAGTTATGGCATGTCTTAAGAAATGCAAGTTTGGTTTGAGAAAGTGCCCTTCAATTTTGATTCAATTTGTTTCTTGTTTTGTCTAATAATATAGACCATATTAAGGTCTTGCAGAAAAAAAAGGAGGAAACTGATGACTTTTTATATGATGCCACAAGGTTGACGGCTTGGAAGTGGGACTTACTTTGAAAATAGTGAATCATGGAGGATCTCTAAATCTGATCATCATGGAATGTGGTTGTTCATTGAAAGACATCTCCATTACCTTGGATGGTGGAGCATCTTGGTTTTACCAAGGGTGTGTAATTTTCTAAAGTTGCTTCTTTTCTTGTTCTGCTCCATGGGTATCTTTGGCCATTGCTTATGCTTATACTTTTTAGTTGTTTGACTTTTTTTTTCATAAAATTTCACTCTACATGTATGAGCATGTGTTTGTGTACATGTGTGCAGGTGGGCTCATGCAGGTTTGTGAATATGCCTACTTACTTGCATATGTACTTGTTTATGTGTACATGCATGAAAAAGTGGTGTCCTTTCTTTCTCACCATTTGGTGGTTATCCTCCTTTGTGACGCATGGATATTTGCATGTTCATTTATTTTCTAGATTTCTCTCTAATAAAAGTACATTGCTAAGGCTTTCAATGTTGTTTAATTTTGCATTTATTTTTAACTATAACAAATGGCATGGATCAAATGCAATATGTTGTTGAACTAGAATGATTTACAAGGGAAATTTGCTGGTCCACCAAGGATCCTTGTTTGTCATTTGTTTAGTTTTTATAGAACTTCGGATGTTTAATCACCCAAAAAGAATTTTAGATTTTAAAAAATAGCAGTGTTGGATACTGGAGCGAGTCTGAGTAATCGGGTGAGTCCCCTCGGAGTCACCTAGGTCATTCAGGCTCGGCACCCTGCTGAGGCTGGAACCTTGCACATTGGGACTGGCCAAGTCTTTCTAGTTCCCACTATTTTATTACTTTTTTGGCCCGACTCAGCCTAGTCTCTCCGACCTGACTTATGATCAGGGACCAAGGGAGTCCTGATCTGAGTCAATGTTTTCTAACACTGGATAAAATCATAAAATCCCATTAGTTTAAGTGCGGAAATGCACTCTAGCGAGGAAAAGAGAAACTTTTCCATGATCCTTCGATACAAAGGTCTTTTAAGATGGCCTAATGAAAACCATAAAGCAGATTTATGTCCATGATAAACTCATCCACATCCTTTCTGATTAGAAATTCCTTTTGGATCAGAAATTGTACAACTTACAGCAAAACGGTGGCAGCCCCATTGGTACTTTTCCAACCCAAGCTCTAGGCCTAGAAAATCGTTAGGCCCCTTTCTTGTAAGATTCTTAGGTTATTTATTTGTCTCTTGGAGATCTTATATCTTTGGACTTCTAAAGTGACACCTAGAATAAGTTTTCTATTTGGATTTGACTTGAAAAATTGCATCTAGGATCAATTTCCAAATTATCGTTCTTAAAATATTATTGTCTAAAGGAATTACATAAATTTACGTAAACTTGTCACTTTTGAAACCTCTGACTTTAATTAGCCTGTATGACTAGTTTAGATGCCGAAAACAGTCTCTTGTGAACCAAGTAGCCTCCCTAAGATTAAGAATCTTTCCAAAAAAATGCTTCTTTGAGACAGTTTATGTACACACATACAACCCTTCACAAGTAAATTAATAATATGTAATTTTAAAATTGCATTGTTTTAATTTAAATCTTTTTATGAACAATTTTATATCCCCAACATAGTGGATTTGTCCCCTAGTCCATGCATTTCTAAACTCCTATATTTCTTTCACAGTCCCTTGTCTGCTATACTTTCGTATGATCGTGCAAATTATTTATAGACATCCTTACAACTTCTTACATCTAGATAATGACCCACACAGAGACCAAAGGGGCTACGTATTACTCATTGACAATTTGGAAGTGGGGCGTTGAAGAGTCTAAATACTTGTGTATCATGGAGATTTGGAGATTATTATATATATCCTTGTTTTGTTGTATGATATTCATAGATTACTCTTGAGAATTGTTTAGTTATTGCTCAAGTATATAGAAAGTGTAGCATGTATTTTGTATCTAAAACATAATTCAGCTAGTATATTTCTTACCATTAATTTCTTCCTTGCAGATCTACAAACTATTCAACATGAAGTTGTGTGCGTATGTGTGTGTGTGTCGGCACGTGAATGTGTTGCATGTGTGGATTGATGGATGATTTGATATAGATATAGCTATATCCATTGCACATTCTGCACCAAGAAGGCATAACGTTTTACCATTCTATCTGTTTAGCACGTTCTAATGCTTGTTTTGAAGGTCTTGTCAAGATTTGCAGGTTATCTTTCTATGCACTTTTCCAAATTTTATTGTTTTATGGTTGAAAATTCACCCCAAAGTTCACAGATAAGATGCCTTTGGATTTTGAGGATGAAGAGGAAGATTTAGGATTTGTGTTTCTATATTGGACTTTTATGGAATTTTTGGATTTAATTTGTATTTTTTATTGAGTTGAGAAAAGGCTTTGATGATGATAGTGATGAATTTCTATTTTTGATTGAGGAAAGACTTAGTAGGACTAATAATTATTATTTTCATTACTGGTATTGGATTTTTATAAAAGTTCATTTAGGGTTATAATTCATGGTAATGGCAATAAATAGGGTTATTGGAGTCTTGTTTGTCTTCAATTTGGTTTTGAGATCTGGGAATTTTGTTTAGTTTATGTACAAACGGATTGAAAGACCCTTGAGACTTGGCAAGGAGGACTTGCAACTTTTATTTTGCTTCTCATGTGATTCTCTTGTGCATTTCTTTTGTTGTGCATGTTTCTTGCATCTAATTCATTCCTTGCACCACCTCTCGAGAGTTGTTTTGTGTAATATATTGTTCTTGTCCAGATACTTGAATGAAGTAAATGAGGGCCTTCTGCCGGGTTATACTTATCAAGGGGGTTACTCATTTTAGGAAATAGTAAGGTCAGATCACACATCTGTTCCGCATGTAAGATGCTGCTTGTGTCTTACGTCACCATTCTTTGAGTTTTCCATTAACATTGGTTCCTTTGCTTAGTATACATAAATAAGAAGCTTGAGCTCGGTTTAACGGACATCACCTATTCTTATTTTATTGCTATGACAGTCCTTTCTCGTTTAAAAAAAAAAAATAATTCTTAAATACAGTTACAGGAGTAACAATCAATATTTCACTCATCCGTAGCTCAGTGAAAAGTTTCCTTCTGTCTCTTTTGGGTTTAACAAATCTATTCTTTATGTAGACGACTTGAGCTGCATGGGTCTTGCATCATATTACATGAATCACCCATAAATATTTGATTCCTCAATAAGCAGCGCTCTTATTCAGATTAGATATCACTTATTCTTATTTCCTTCTCATGAAACTCTTTTGGACTTCATAAAATGGCTGTGGAGTTAACATACTTTCTTCCTCTTGTTCTTGGCAGGGTCACCACTTTCCTCTGACTCTTTGGTATGTTCTAGATATATAAATTGTAAATCACAATGCTGATTTTCTGGTGATTTATTTATCCAAGTGAACTGAATACACCATTTTGTTTTTTTTTTTTTTTTTCTTTTTCTCCTAGCTAAGAGAATTCGATTGAATTAGATTCGAAATTGTACTTCGATTGAATTAGATTCGGCTGCAGGTGGTGTCCATTCGTATGATACTTCGCTATCTGCCCAAGAACGTCTTTCCCTTTGCCACTTGGCCTACCACCGTATCACCCCCCTGACGGTCATCCTAATGGTGTCCCCCCCTCTATCCTTCCCAACCTTGCAGACCCTCCCAGGCCTTCTCGTGAACTTTCCCTTTCTTTGTGCTCTCCGTTCACCACGAGCGAGGAGACGCAGCTTCCATCCAGTCCACTTCTTCTTTCAGGTCCTCTCTAGGCCTTCCAGAGGATGCTTTTACTTTTTTCGAGAGAGCCGAATCATCTTGCCCTCTTCACCCTGCGTCCCCGTCTATTCTTTCCCTAACCTTCCTACCCCTTCCCTTCCCCTACCACAATTCATCGTTACCTATGGAAGTGGACCCCTCTCTTCTTCCTTTCGGCATCATCACGGTACACTCCCTCCATCCTTCTCACCCTGACCCTTCTCTCCTCTCTTAGCTTCTTAGCCCATATCTCCCTCAGCCCTCTCTCCATATTCCTCGAGTTCTCTCCTACCTCGCCTCTTAACCTTGGTCCCCAACCCTTTCCTTATCACTTTTTATCTTTCTACACCCATCGTCCCCTGCCTTTTAACCCTTGCCCTCATCTCGTGTCCATCAGGGCTCCTCCCTCTGTCGCTGTCTGGACCCCTACCCAACCTGCAGCTTCATCTGGGCAATCTCTTGGTTCACCAACCACTTTTACCCCCTCACAGGTCTACCCTATTCAGAGTCTCCCGTGGATCCATCACTTGGTCTTAGCCTAGGGGAACCTGAACCCTTGTCGTCTGTCCCTCTTTCCCAGTTTCCCCTAGACAGTCCTCCTTCTCCTCCGAACCTTCAGTGATTGCTCCTGTTTCACTAAGTCCTGCACCCTCTTCCTCCTACTCGGTCGAAGGGGACCCAATGAGAGCTAGTGGGAAAGATAAAATTTCAGAAGCTGACAGAATGAACGAGATCTACAGGGTTATGGGTTTTGAACATCTTGGACCCGAAGGCCTGGCTCATCAGTTCTTGCAGGCGGACGCCTCTAGCAGGCTAAAGGTGAATCTCAAAGGACATCGTGAACTGTTTAACCTCTTCTCTTCTTTAAATTATGACAAACTCACTTCTGTTGACAAGCCTATGTCCACCGCTACCCAAACCTCCCCCACTTTTAGGCGGTCGCCCAGGACGGTCTCCACCCCTGCTTCACCCCTTAACCTATGAAGACTCTATCTTGGAATATAAGAGGGTTGGGACAGAAGTCCAAAAGGGACACGGTGAGAGACTTTTCTACGAAACTCTCCCCATCGATCCTAGCCTTGACTGAAACAAAACAACCAGCGCCTACTCTACAATCCGTCCACAGTGTGTGGGCCAGAGGGCCGTGTCAATGGGTTTCATTACCAGCGAAAGGGTCCTCTTGCAGAATTTGGGTTGTTTGGAACCCAATTGAGTATAATCTCCTATCGTCTCACATAGGAGATTTCTTGGTCACTGTCCTTTCCAGGACAACAAATGGTGCGCTGATTAAATTCTCCTCCATTTATGGTCCAAACTCAGCTTCCCTTTGCCCTCAGCTCTGGTCGGAATTGGATCTTGTCGCAGCCTTACCACACTCTGCTTGGTTCCTGGGTGGTGATTTCAAAATCACCCGTTGGTCTCATGAGAGAAACCTCAACACTAATATCTCCCAAGGAATGTTGGATTTTTCTGACTTCATCTCTTGTCATGAACTAGTAGACATTCCAACTCAAGGGAATGCCTTTACCTGGTCTAACCACTTTGCTCAGCCCTCTTTGGCTAAACTGGATCGATTCCTTCTGTCACTAGATTGGGAAGTTGCTTTTCTGGATTCACATGCTCTAACCCTGCCTAAACCTACCTCAGATCATTGCCCCATTCTTCTTGATACACAAGCTTTTAGTAGGTGGCCTAAACCCTTTCGGTTTGAACTGGCTTGGTTGGAAGAGCAGTCCCTTGTGACTCTCATCCCCATTTGGTGGAATTCTTTCTCTTCCCAAGTCTCGGGTAGAGAGTGATTCAAGCTACAAACCAAAATCCAGCTACTCAAAAAGTCCTTGAAAAATTGGAGACAATCTCGGCTAGGGAATTACTTTCAGTTAAAAACCTCTTGGATCAACTGCATCCAAGACCTTGATAAAATTGAGGAAGTCAGACCCCTGTCCGACTTTGAAGAACAGTTACGAACCCAATCCAAGCTGAAATACCTTGCTACCCTCAAGAAAGAAGAGCTTTTTTTGGTTCTAGAGATCCCGGGTGAAATGGTTAATAAAAGTAGGGGACCAGAACATTGCCTTCTTTCATTGTGTAGCTAACTGTAGAAGGAGAGAGAATTTGATATCCACAATTAAGGTGGATAACAGGTTTCTTACCCAGCCAGATGAAATTGAACATGCCATCCTGAATTACTTCAAGTCCCTCTATTCTGCCCCTGAGGGTCAGGCCTAAGATGACCACTTTGGATTTCCTTTCAATTCTAGATCTTTGGTCCAGTGAATTGGAAAAACCTTTTACAGTTGAGGAAATCTCAAGCGCCATTGACCAACTTGCTAAAGACAAAGCACCGGGGCCAGATGGCTTTCCCATGGCCCCATTTAAATCTTTCCTGGGTACTTTCCTACCTGACATCAGGAGTTTCTTTGAAGAATTCTATCATAAGGGGATCCTAAACAAAGCTATCAATGTGATCTTTATAGGTCTTGTCCCCAAGAAAGAAGGTGCTGAAGAGCTTAAGTACTTTCGTCCAATTAGCTTACTCAATTCTTCATTCAAAATTCTGGCTAAGGTATTTGGCTTCAAGACTCAAACAGGTCCTTCCTCTCATCAACTCGCAATTCCAATCAGCTTTTATCCAAGACAGGCTCATCTTGGATGGTGTGTTGGTTTTTCATGAGTGTATCCACTCTAGCGACCTCTCCAAGAAACCAGGATTGATTTTCAAAATCGATTGGGAGAAAGCTTATGACCGTGTGGATTGACATTTACTGGATGAGACAATGGCAAGAATGAACTTTGGCCAAAATGGATAAAAGGATGTATTTCCACCCCCAATTTTTCGGTCCTTATTAATGGTAGCCCTAAAGGTTTCTTTGCTGCTTCGAGGGGGCTCCGTCAAGGGGACCCACTTTCTCCCTTTCTGTTTACTATAGTAGCCGAGGTTTTCAGCAGATCCATCTCTCATCTCTACCAGGAAGGACTACTCTCAGCTTGTCTCTGTAGCCCACAAGGCCCAAGGGTATCACACTTGCAGTATGCAGATGATACCTTAGTTTTTTTAGATGCGGTCCCCCAGCAAATCGAGAATCTCATAATCTTTCTCAAATGCTTTGAGAATGCCACTAGCTTCAAAGTAAATATGGAAAAATCTAAGATGATGGGAGTGTGCCTCACACTTCAAGAAATCAGATCCCTGATACCTTCCTGGGACTGTAAGATAGAGGACCGCCCTACCACTTACTTGGGGATCCCTTTAGGCTTAGGAAAACCCAAAAAGAGACATTGGGCCCAAGTGATTGATAGGGTCGATAGGCGTCCAGCTGGATGGAAAGGAAGATTCCTTTCCTTAGCCGGTCGTTCTGCGCTGGTTAAGGCTATTGTGGCAAACTCCCCTGTCTACTTAATGTCCATGTTCCATATGCCAGTGTCGGTGGCTAAGAGACTGGATCAACTAATGAGAAACTTTCTGTGGTCCGGCCAAGCTGAAAAAACGAGGCATCATCTTATCTCTTGGGACAGAGTTTGACTGCCCAAAGCCCGAGGTGGTCTAGGTATCAAAGATCTAAGGAAGCATAATCTGGTTCTGTTGGGGAAGTGGTGGTGAAGATTGGGCACCCAACCAAGCCCCTTCTGGGCACAGGTGTTTCGGAAGAAATATAACCACTGTTGGGTTCTTGAAAGGCCCTCACTGAGCAGGGTTTCAGGAATTTGGAAATCCCTCGCCTCCTCTCTTGCTCTGTTCAAGAAAGTGATTCGTTTCCATCCTAAACACGGAAACAGAGTTCGCTTCTGGTCTGATCTGTGGATTGGACATGCTCCCCTTAGGGACCTATTTCCTAAACTGTTTCAACTTGCTTCCATCAAAGTGTCCAGTATTGCAAATGAAATGGTCTTGGCAGGGGGGTGTAGATCTTGGAACCCCTCGTTTTGAAGACATCTCTCCGAAGAGGAAATATTGGAGTTCTCCACTCTATCGGCTGCCCTTCACCCGGTGTTCTTACCTTCTTCAGGGAGTGATTCTTTGGTTTGGACACTATCCCCTTTTGGTAAGTTTTCAGTAACAACTTTCTATAAGCTTCTTATCCAGCCTCCTACTTTCCCTTTAAATCCCATCTCTCCCCTCTTCAAGGTATGGAACACACTAGCTCCTCCAAAAGTTCAAGTCTTTCAATAGGATTGCTGGCTGTCATAGGGCCCTCACTCTTGATTAGCTCCAAAAAAGAGGCCTGTCGCTCCCAAACAGATGTGTAATGTGTTTGACAGAGGAAGAGTCTAACCCCTACCTCTTTCTACAATGCAGTGGGGTTTACGAGCTTTGGACCATGATCCTACAATTGTTTAGTTTCAATTGGGTCCTTCCCCTTTTGGTAAAAGACTTATTTTTTCATTATTCTGGAGGTCCTTGGCCCAAAGCAGGTAGAACCTTGTGGAGGGCAGCTATCGCTGCTACAGTATGGGTTTTATGGATTGAAAGAAATGAGAGGGTCTTTCAAGGGCACCGAAAGGAAGTGGCTGGGCTGTTTCATAAGGTTACATCAATTGTAACCTTTTGGGCTTCCACCCATAGGACCTTTGGTGGGATTCCTATGAGTTCTTTCCTTAGACAATGGGACATTATTATCCGAATTCACCCTCTCAAGCTACAGCGGCCTTACAACTGGTTACCTCCTCCAGAAAATGCCATTAAGCTTAACTTCGATGGTTGTTCCATTGGAAACCCTGGCCCTTCAGGAGTAGGGGGAGTTTTCTGTGACCACAATCGAAATGTTCTCATGACATACTCAGAATATGTTGGACATAGAGATTCACAATTCGCCGAAGCCTTGGCACTCCTAATGAGCTTAAAATTTTTTAATCCTTCTTGGGGCCAATCCTTAGTGGTGGAAGGAGACGCAAAAAACATTCTATCATGGGCAGCAGGCACCACCACTCCTTGGTACCTTTCTAGATTTTTTTATGAAATTTACCACTTATGCAGGGATACCAATGTCTGTTGGAGCCATATTTGGTGGACGTCGTATTAGTTCGCCGACCTTCTCGCTAAAGATGGTGCGTGACGACGACCACACTTGGAAGACAATGAATGGTCCAACTCCGTTTTTGCTCTGGACCTTCGAGATCTTCAAGGACACTAGATTTTTTGGTTGTACATTTCTGTAACAGGCCGCGCTTATAAGCCCAGCTTTTTGTATCCTCCTTTTTTGGTTACAGCTGTTTCAAATATAGTTTGTATAGGGATTTTAGCTTATTTTGGTACCTGTCCTGTAGGTATTCTCGGTCCTCTCCTCCCTCTTTCTGTTGTATATTTCATCTTTTATTGTAACACAAGGTTAACATTATCAAAAAAGAATTATACCTTAAATTGGATGAGAAATACAACCAGATGGGCATGGACAGGAAGTGTCAATGTAGTAGGAAGAGGTCCTCAGAATGGGACTGCTATGCAAGCTCCCTATTTTGCCAGGGAGAGAGCCTCTGGTTTTACTGCTCTTGATTTCCCTCCATATGGTGCCTCTTTTTCTGGAAAGAACATTTGTTTTCTTTTCATCTACCAAGAATGCAGTGTGCTTTTTTTTTTCATTTAAGAAATGAAGTGTGTTTTCTTGGCTTAGAATTATAAAGTTCCTGTGTGGCATTTTCCTTTTATAACCTTTAAATCATTCTCCTTGGTTACAAACTTTTTATAGGACACATATTAGATAACATCGGAGTATTCAGGATAGATTGTCTATGGTCATTATCTCTATATTATGTATCTCTCTTCCTTTAATCTTACATTTTCATTTTTTTCAGGATTGTCAATGCATTTGAAGAGCAGATAATTTCTGCAGTAGAAACTGCAGTGACAAAGAAGATCAAACAAGGGATTAGAAAACTTGATTTATTTTTGGAAAACTTACCGAAAAAAATTCCGGTGGATGATATTTCCACTTTAAATGTTACTTTTGTGAGTGACCCATTGATGGGCCAATCCTCTATCAGTTTTGAAATCAATGGTTTGTTCATGGCCACAGACAAATTGGCACCTTCCAACTACCATTTTAGGCATTCACAAAACAAAGTTTCCTGCAGCAGTGCATCAAAAATGCTAGGGATTTCTCTCAATGAAGCTGTATTTAACTCTGCGTCAGCTACATACTTCAGTGTAATAGTCATTTCCCCTTTATGAACTTTTAATACCTCATTTATATGTTCTTAGAACACTGAAGTTTGGATTACGACTTTTGAGCTGCTAATCTTTTGTTGGTGATTTTTTTGATATTTTATTTAACATCATGGTAGTGGTAATTAGAAAGGTTATTTGATAGTTTATGTTTTCGTTTCTCTGTTTCTTATGATCGAAGGGTACTTCTGTCATTCTTCCTTCTCATTAGACAATCAAGACTGGGAAGAATGTTGTTGTACTAACAATCATTCTCATGGTCAGGCCGGCTTTATGAGTTGGATTGTGGACAAGATAGATCAGTCTCTTTTGAACACTGCTGGTTGGAGATTTATTATTCCTCAACTATACAAGAAGTATCCAAATGCTGATATGAATCTGAACATATCATTATCTTCACCACCATATTTAAGCATTACACGTGATGGCATCACTACTACTGTTTTCGCCGACATGACCATTGATGTTTTGAACTCTAATGAGATAACTCCAGTGGCTTGCATATCGATGGTAAGATTTAGTTGGCAGATGTCTTTGTACTGAGTGGTTTGCGAATGAGAATGTTTATTGCATGAATGGATTTCCTGTTACTGTCTGCACAGAGTGATAACCAGAAAAAGAAGAGTCTGCACACACATTGTCACATGCATCATGAATTGGGATGTGGGCGTGTTTTATTTAGGGATATACCTGTTTTTGTTAGGGGTACCAATTTGATGTGGGTGTTCTCTGTCGTCCCCTTTGGTTTCAAGTGAATGCACTTTTGTGCCTGTTTGCTTGTTGTCTTTCTGTCCGATTTGCATGTTCGCAACAATGTGCCTCTAGGCATGTGCATTATCTTGTGAGGAGGGAGGATATAGGTCTTTAGGCATGCAAGTACGTTTTCATGCAGACGAGAACTTACGTATTTATGGGCAATAATTTATGCATGTGTCCATCTCTCCATCTTAGGTTGTCAACTATGAAAAGTTTCATCTGTCAAATACAAAAAACAAAGGTTCAATAGCATAGTTTGCTCTCGAACTTCTTGTTTGGGCAATTATTTCTACAAGTCCATTGTGAGTTTAGACACTGTCAAATATTAGTTGTTCTGTACTCCTGATCCCAACTGTTACTTTCTAATAACACAGTTGTGATCCTCATCCATTCAGTTGAGATCTCTATTTGGGATGTATCTAGCTAAACAAACAACCTCGAGCAACATTGTGCTACTTTTTTACGAATCCTCCCATATTTGCTGTTTGTTTTTCATTGGAGCTCTCAATTGATAAAATGGCATATTTCATTCAGCTGGTTGATGTTTCTTGGTGCAGGTAGTAAGTTGTTCCGGCTCTGTTGAGATCTTAAAAAACAACCTAACTGGTCAAGCTGGGTATGGTGACTTTAGACTCCAGTTAAAGTGGAGCAAAGTTGGAAACTTCCATATGTATCTGATTCAGGTAAGAGATCATGCCACATTGTGACCCCCTTTGGTATATGTCTCGCTTTAGCCTTCTTCTGTGAGAAATACCTGTAAATTTGTCATCATTAATATTAATCTAGGCTGCCCACCTTTTATTAAATACTTACAAGGTAAGCAGACATAAATAAGAATGGCTAGCTTCTTTACTAGTGGGTCCAAATACTATCCTATGGGGCATTCAAAATTTGTTATTTTACTATTTTGGGTTATGCCCCTTAACTTGCATTTCAATTCAATTTCAATTTGACTTGACCTTTACAGATCTGCATGAGGTGGACTTCAACAGGCCTCGCAAAACACAAATTTACATCTTTGTCCAATCATAGACATTTGACCAAACCTAAACCCCACTATTTAACTTTTCTGTAACCCCAGCCCAAGGTCTTTCTTCCCATTTGGAGACTTCGCTTCCATTAGCAGAAACCATACCCATTTGAAATTTTAGTCACATTAATGGCAATGTTATCCATTATTCCTACATACTTCAGAAATGGATAAAACTAAAGACCCAACATGTACGCAGTGAAAAGGAAACCTGATAGCCACCCTGGTGCAGCTGTTGCTTGCGTCACATGAGAACCTTGTCAAAACTAAGAAATGTTGTTAAAATGATTCAAGAGACTCATGAATCTCTACACTATAAAAAAGAGAACACCAAAGTATCTCCATGTTTTCAGTTCTTGATTTGTTTAAATTGTGTTATGTGTACAGTTAAGTGGTAGATATGATATTCAACTTGAACAGTTATTATGTGACAACTGAGAATGAACCTTATGAGTTTTTTGCATTACTCTTCTTTGATAACTTTTCTAGAGATCTGTGTTAAATTTAATGGTGATCCTTTGAGGTCCTACACACATGGGTGTGGGAGGGTCTCATAGGATCATTACTATTTTTATTAATTACTATTCTTTAATAAAACAGTTGAATCTCTCGAATAATTAATACTCCAATGGAGTTATTTCAAAACATAGAATGTTAAACTGAACAGACACTTGTCTAAACATTTTTTGGACTGGAACCGTTTAGAATTGTCACTATTGTGGGATATTTTATCCCTCTTAATATGGCATACATTTTATTTTATCCTTTTCAATCCCAAATACTGATTATTTAATGATTTTCCTTTTCTTATTTCTTATACAAACATTCTTCAAAAAGTACAGAGAAAAATTACATTACAAAACTCTAATCATTTACATCTCCATTTAATCTTTGCAATTTTTTTTATAAATTATTAGAAATTAATAGTGCTTCAAAAAGCGCTAGGCTGTCGGGGGTCCAAGCCGCCCAGGCAGCCCAATAGAAAAAAATTTTGTTTTGGGGTTTTTTCTCTCTAAAATAGTCTCCAATGGGTTTTAGGTTTCAAATGAACTTAAAACCCACAATGTTTCCCTTTAGTACTAAAAAAATGACCCAAAAATACCCTCAAGGATCCGCATTTCCACCCCTGGCCCGGGCAGGCGTCTAGGTGGGTTCCAAGTCGCCTAGGCGGACGCCAGGGATATCCACCTAGTTTGGCCGCCTAGGCCTAGGTGATGTTCTTAGGCCTTTTGGACCGCCTAGACGGCCGGTCAGGCGCTGGGCAGTCCGCTTTTTAAAATAATGGAAATTAGATAATATAAATTACTAAGTATGGAATGACATTGGTTCCCATTGCTTTTAATAAGGTACCAGAGGTTATTGATTATTAAAACATAAATTATAGAAGTCTAAGCTATACTTTTGTGCCTGATGAGCTTAAATAATGCAATACAGGCAGCTGTACGGGTCCTTTTGGCAGATGTGTTTGTTCCATATGTTAACTCAAGGCTCAGAAATGGCTTCCCATTGCCTATAATTCATGGGTTTACTCTCTCAAATGCTGATATTATCTATGCCGACTCCCGTGTAGTGGTATGTACAGATGTAGAACACACTGATGCTTTCTAGGAGCTTGTAATGTAACATGTATACTAGTCGGTATTGGAAAATGCTTTTGCATTTGTATTAAGTACAGTGGAGACCCAGTGGCAAGGAGCTTCACTGGGTTCGCCTTGTAAAAAAATGGACAAAAGACCTTTTGTATAGTGTAAATGTAATTTCAATAACGTTTCATGTTACTTCGCCAAAAAAATAATGGTTTCATCTATCTCTAATTATAATTGATGCTTTTGTTTAGATTTTTTAGGTTTAGGGTTATTTTCTTCTTATTGGTTTTTATATTTCAATAATAGAATTGAGAAGTTTATGTTATTTTAAAAGATAGAAGTGGCGAGGAAAAATAGGTGGGATAAAGTTTGGTAAGAGATATAGATTTTATGGTTAAAAAGGGCAGAGAGATCAGGGAAAGGTTTCTATACTTTCCCTACAGCAGATCAGAAGATCTATGCTTTTCCTACCATCCAAGCGTTCAATTTTGATCGAGAGAGCCACTCACTTTTTGATCTTAGAGCCGATGTATTAAAGTATTTTATTTTTAGTTTTTTTTTATACAAATTGTATGGATATGAAATTTTGTACGTGTCATATTCTCACTGGGGCGTATCTATAAAAAATATTAAAAATAATTTTTCGATAAAATATAATGATCAAAATACCTTTTAAATATTTTAGGGGTATTTTGGTCATTTTATTTTATTGGAAATATTATATATATATTTTTCGTTAGTGCGAGTTTAATAGAAGATTGGACGTACAAAATTTGGTGTCAAAATAGTTTATATAAAAAATATTAAAAATAAAATAGTGTAGAGATGTGACATTGTGATTGGGACAATTATAGCCTTCTATTTTGAATAGATGGTTGGATAAGGGGAAGCATATGAGTTTTGTACTGTAGGGGATGCATAGAAATCTTTGCCCAAGGGATTAACGTGAGAGAGGGTTCAACGTGAACTAAGAGAAATTAATGTTGAGAGAAGGTGTCTAATTGTGTGTGTGTTTTTTGTTTCGTTCTTTTAGTTTGTATTTAAAGGGAGGAAGGTCCCCTTTTAAAGAACTTAGTTATTTGAGAAGAAAAAATTTGTTTTGCTCTTGCGAAGAGATATTTGGAGTGAACTTTCCAAACCTTGAGAGGGATATATTCTCTCATGTTTATATTTTTTATTTTATTTTATTTATTTCTGTCCTCCATTCCTTGTATCAGTGATCTTGTTACAGTAACACAAACTCTCTCTCTTGATGACTTGCCCCTCATTGTTTGTATTTGATGGATGCATAAAGTTGATAATAAGAAAAATCTCTCATATTTAATGACGCTCCCATTTTAGGTGTTTTGGGGTAGTCCCCAGACTTTGGCACAAACAACCCTTTGACTCGATAAAAGAACCCATGAAAAATGATTTTGAAAAAAATCTTTAAAAATGGTTTTTTCGGTCTCAACAAGCAGAGGCCATCTATTTCACGAGTAGCTAGATCGAATTTGTAACGGCAAGAACTAAAAATATTTTTTATTTTTTTATTTTTAATTATTCATGTGCTAATAATGAGGTGATTTAAAAATTTGAGGTTAAGCAAGTATCTCTAGGAACTGGATCTAATGTCATTTATTTTTATTAAAATATAGATAAAACGTATATAGAACATTTTCTCTCCCCTCGGAAACTATTTTGGGGCCTGTTTTCAAAATGGAAAAAGTTTATATAAAGATGCTACTTTAATGTAAACTATTGATGTTCTTCAAAAATCCATCGGAAAAGGTAGTTTTAATGTTGAAAAACCCTTTAATTGATCATCTCGACATTGAAATGTATGACTATGAAGAATACAAAGATTTTAAGTTTCAGAAATAGTGCATTTTACAACATATTATCTACACCGTCCATTTTCAAGATTTTTATATGTTTATAGATTTACTTGATTTAACCATTTTTGAAATTTAAAATTTTATAATTAGATATACAAATAGATTTTGAGATAATCCTAAGAATATTTACATTAAAATTATAGACCATGATAAAATTTGAAGGTGCACTTTACCTCTACACCTACGGATGCACCCGTATGCCAACTGTACCCTTTCAAAATTCCTTACATGGCTTTCTTGGGCCTAACATTAAGGTCCCGTTTGTAATTTGAAATTGGGAGAGAGCTAGTAACTGAGGCCTCTACTAATTGGGATTTGAAATCCAAATGTAACTTGGGTAAATAATATGGGAAAGTATATAATGAAACCATTTACTTTTGGTACAAGGTGGTCACAATTAATCTTGACCATTGAATGTGAAATTGGGTGGCTACATTTATTTCATAGACCAAGCTCAAAGTTCAAAATAAATTTTCTCGAATTTTGTAATCCCTCTAAGCTATTAGATTTCACATAAAAAAAAGTGCAAGTAATTGTGACCTCTCTATACCAAAAGTAAATGGTCGCATTGTATACAATCCCATATAACATATATTTGGATGAGATTTATATTTTATATTTTCTATTTATAGTCACCCATTTATAAGGCCTGGGTTTTGCTCAACGACTATTTCTTTTCAAATAGTTGGGATTATTGGCTTTGACAACCTTAAACAATTAAAGTAAGCTGCACTTTTAAATATTGTTAAAAAATGTAGTTTCAGGGTTGAAAACCTTTCATGATGGCCTAAAAATCCATTTTTCCTCCTAGTTGTGAAATTTAAAGCTAAAAAATGGCCTTTATCAAACATATCTATAAATAGTTTTTAAAAAATGAAAATAGATGATCTAAAGAACGTTCTACAAGATGCGCTATTTTTATGACCTAAAGTTCTTTTTTCTCGTTTATATTCATTTAGCTTGCGGTCTAGATAATCAACAATAGGGTTTTTCCAATGTAAAGGCAACTTTTTGGGGTGGATTTTTCAGAGGGTGTGGTTTGTACAAAGAAGCTCATAAATAATCAAAGTAAAACACACCTTCCAATAGTATTGAAAGATGACGTTCCAATATTGAAAACCTTTATGACAGCTTGAAAATTGATTTTATATCTAATTATAAAATTTAAAGCTTAAAAATAATGTAGATCAAGCAGATCTATGAACACTTGACGATATTGAAAATTGACAGTATGAAGAATGCATACTATTCACTATTTTCAAGACTAGAAATCTATTTTTTTTTTAACATTCATGTATCTCAAGGTCGTGATCATCGGATTTGACGGTATTTCAATATCAAAACAACTTTTTTTAGTGAATTTTTGAAGTGCACCTTAGTTTGATTAGGGCCTCAACCTTACATAAAATTTCCATTTTTTCAAATCCACCATACTTATACATTATAAGCTTGACACCTCATATAAACCTTTTATCATCATCATTATTATTATATGAAAATATATCATTTATTTATTATTCTTTTTTTTCTAATACTTTTTTCTTTTATATGCAGATGAATTCTATCCTTAAAAGTTGATTGGTGATGAATTTCGAAACCAACACTTTCAATCACCGCACCTCACCATTTTTGCCCAAAAAACAATCCGGGATTGTATACAATGAGATCATTTACCCTTTGTATAGGAATGTCACAATTACTTATAACGATCCGATATGAAATTTGATAGCTTGAGCATGTCACAAAGTTTGAGAAAATTTATTTTGAGCTTTGAGCTTGATCAGTGAAATAAACGCAGCCACCCAATTTCACATCCAATTGTCAAGATTAATTATGATCACCTCGTACCAAAGATATATGGTCTCATTGTGTACTTTCCCATACAATCCTCACCACTTCATCACATTAACTCCAATTCAACATATAGACAAGCATTTGTAATGTTTCTCTTTTTTGCTTTTGTTGTTTGTTTTTTTTTGTTTTTTTCTAATAGAAAAAAAAGGAGAAGGCGTTCGAGTTGCAGCGTAGAGGAGGCTCTTAATGAGAGGCTTCCTCAGGGATGAGAGGTCTTTGGTGAGTCATGGTTGGAGAGAAAAGAGGGCTTCGGTGGGTATTGGGTGAGCAGGAAAAGGAAGAGTACCGGTATTCCTTTTACCTTGATATCTTTTTTATTCCGGGATTGTCTACAAAGAAATCATTTATCTGCAAGTTCACTAACTCTTGTCATTGAATAGACACAGAGTTCAAGAAAAACAAAAAAAATTTCATACTTCATGACTCATCTTAAACCATCTAATTTAACCTCTAATAAGCGAGAATAATTGTGATCTTATTGTACAAAAGATAAATGGTCTCTTTGTATATAATCCCTTTATCTTCCCACCATTTTCATTACGATGGACTGCCACCATTTATGTAATGGTAAGGGAGCCTACTATTGATGAAAATGATCAGCGTTACTTCTCTTTCCGCAAGCCATTCT